CACATCGACATCCTGAACACAGACTCAATTCCATCGTCGTCTTCAACATGCTGCGGGGTCACGGAGCTGTCATGAGCGCTCTTGTCGGCAAGCGCCTCAAGACATGGGTAGTGGTGACTTGGCCTTGGCGTCGGGCAAGATCAACGCCACGCCTCCGTGCAATGATGTCCACTGAGGACATGCAACGCCCAAAGTCGATCTCCTGCGGTTGACGGCGACCGCGTCAACTTATCGTGTCGCCGTCCAATGCATCGGCGTTGCTCGCCCCAATGTTGACATGACTCTGACCAAGGCATCACAAAGTCCACACATGAATAGGAGTGCACGACCCCGCCCAGATCAACCTGCATTGCGCACCTGTTGGGCGGCAGTCCATCGCGACCTGGCTCGCGAATGCCGTGCGAGGGCAGCACTGGCTATAGCTCGCCGCGCTCGCGACCTTACGCCAGAGACATTTGGTGGAGTACACAGTACCGACTTCTTGCCTTCCAATTAAAACATGCCGTTCAAATTTTCACGAAAACGAAGCAAACAGGTCGTACATCAACACATTGTACGGTTAAATCGAAGTTAAACCAAGCGATCCATTTTGGCACACAAGGATATCTTGATGTTTGTATGATGTCATTTATTCGTACGAATTTTCCGATTAATGTAGGAGGTTTTACCTAATGGGAAAAACGCTTGATTAACGACAATCAGTTGAGGTTTAACTTATATAACCATGACGTTTAACAATAAAAAGTCGACACCTCAGAATATCGCATAGGTGCCCTTCAGCGCCGACCACTACATATTTGGAAATTTACGTATGCTGCAACTCCGAGTATGAAAAAAATTCGCGCATACTATACATCTGCAGTCCATTTCATGTACTTTTCGAAAAACCCGATCGCTGTCCTGAGTTGACCCTTGCATGGGGCGGTAGCACTTGCGTACGCAATGCCATTCCGGGGGTTAAGAACTTGACAAGTGAAAGCGATGTCAAGCAGTTGCTGATGTTGTATTGGTGGCGTACAAGTACATCATTGAGAATTTGGTTATTTCACGTCAGGAACACAAACACGCGCTTTCGCGAAAATTTGGATGTTGGTGTCATGAATGTTCGTCGAAACTGCCGGATAAATTGGCAAATCGATTTGATTGGCTGATGCCCGAGCAGAACGAAAACAGGACGGCGCCATCGAGATTTGCTATATCTTCGCAACATGCGTTGCGGGGTGTCTTCCTCCGACTCTTCAGAAAACTTATCAAAATCTCGGATTCCTGCGACAACCTGGTGTTCCATGCTGGTGGGCTGTCCATCCCGCGGATCGGGGGTGCCTGCTTTTCGCACGCAATTTCTCAAAGTCTCAGTAAAATACCTGTCACGAATACTAGCCAATCAGATGCCGCGATTAAGAAATGGACCAATCCGATCGATGTTGGAGGAGTGTACAGGACACTTCACCGAGCAATGACCATGTATGGTATACCTCTCCTCTTTGGCAGCCCATCCATCTATCACACACCCGGAGCCAACCTCAAGTTGGCAGGTCGTCGCCAAGGCGTGTCACCTGTTCAGGATGCGTATTCATGTATTGCATGGGCGCTCGTAGGCCATGGAAGTGGTCCCGGCATTCCTTCGGTTAGATCAACCGTCTGCACTTGAGGATGGAATGTTGACTGGATCCATAGATCTTGTTTTTTATATATCATAGACCAATACAAATCCCAAGATTAAGGATGCAATAAAATGCGGATCCAACTCACAACATGTCGCTGCCCAAGCAACGGCATTCACATACAAGCGGTCTTTTGACACAAGTCATCCAACCATGCCAAGTGCCCCCGATCGTCGTGCAAGGTCGTCGAGCGACCTCGCGATCGCTGCTGCGCGCGGGGACGAAGAAGCGGTCCGCATCCTTGAGATCAGCATCACCACAGCCCCGTCCGCGGACGTGGAAGCCATCGTGACCAACGTGTGCGTGACTGGAGACTTTGCCGTGTTTGATCGCGTCGTCATCGCCAACTGGTCCGCCATCGCCGACCGCTTATTGTCGACACACCATGGCCTTCGCCATCAGTTCGTCAATTCTGCCGTCCAGGGAGCCAACCTTGACATTATCCGCACGATGTGTCGACTCACAAACTTGGACGTCACCGAAGTTGAGGATCGTATCCCGGCACCCGCCTCGTCGTCTCCCCCAGAGGGATTCGAGTTTAACGTTGTCACACCGCTCCTTGTTGCTTCCGTTGGCGGGCACATCGAAGTGGTGCAGTACCTTCTCGACCAAGGAGTGGATGCCAACGCTGGACGTACTCGCGATGGCAACTCGCCGCTCGGCATGGCGTCAATCCACGGCCATGCTATGGTCGTTGACGCTCTCTTGGCCGCGGGGGCTAGCGTTAGCCACACGAACGCCAAGGGCGAAAACATCCGTGCACTGGCCGCTGCGTTCGGGCACACGGACGTGCTGCTGGCGCTTCCTCGGGCAATTCGAGGCGGTGGCGTCATGCCGCCGCCAGCGCGCGTGCATGCAGTGGACGAAGCATCGATACGCAACAAGATCCAAAGTATCAGGCAGTCTTCGAGCCACACGGAGTACTCCCTGGCGGAGCGTGGCGGGGACGTCGATTTGACGCCTCTGCAGCGCCGCATAGCTGTCGTCAAAGCGCGCATGGAAAGCAGTCGCAAGTACTCGACCCCGACCTCCAGCGACGACGAAGTGACCAGCAACATTGGCTCTCGCGTGTTTTAATTCATATCGATATATTTATGCTTGCCAGCCAGTGCCATGTCGAACGCCGCTCCAACATGCCGCGGTTTGTGCAGGTCGTATCGAATAGCCAGCCAGGGACTGCCACCTCGTCGAGAAGGAGGCGGAGCTGCTAAGTTTGTCGTCTTTGCACATGCCATCGAGTGCCACCGCAACACAGACCGCCGCGGTACACCAACTGGATGAGAGGTGCATGACCCACTCATGTATGCTGCAGCAATCGCGACTCGGACTCTTCAGAAGCGTACACCCGCTTCACTTGTCTACTTTCCAGCATAATTGGGCTGGCCCAGACTCGCTGGGGCCACGTGCGCTCGGACGTCGTGTTTCTGGTTCTTTTGAACGTCGCGATTACATTTCTTCGCCGTCGCTATCGTCGCTGTCGACGGCCGAGTCGAGGGACCAGTCCAACTCGTCCATGGATTCGATGAATGGATCACTGTCGTCGGAATCGTTGGTCAAGTTGTAGCCGTCCATGGCGGCGTTGTGCATCCAAGATTCATCCTCGTCCGAGCTGTCGTCGCTCAGGTACGTTGCTGTCCGGCAAGCTGCCCACAACACGTCGATGTTTGTGTCCTGCGCTTCCCATTCTAAATCCACGGGTGTGTCAGCCACAGCAGGACAAGATGCTGTCGCTCGTACGCGGCGACACGTCAAACACAAACGGATTCTGGCCAAAGTTCCACTCGATCGCGTCGGAGGTGTCAACGCCGACGACAGGAAACAACGGCGAGGTCGGCCTGCACGGGATGGGAGGGCCAGCCGCTTGGCCATTGAGAGTGTACACGATAGACGAGTGGTCAAGGAGCAGGCACCCGACTGTGTCCCCACAGCCAAACGTTGGTCCGTACGGTTGGCCCTGCTGGATTTGTAGACTGGTCGAGATGGGGGTCAACGTACATGAGATGATCGATGGAAGGCATGCCCGTCGTCGCTGTGGTAGCCAAAAGACATCCCCCGCCAACCTGCCATTGCATGAGATGGCCGAGGCGATGTGTCGTGCGGAGAGGGACCTGGCTGGTTCCGGATCACGTTAAAATCTTGGTCAGCTACCCCAATAGCGACGCAGTTGAGTTCAGGAAGGATCCCTTGTTGGGCATGAAAGACGTTGGACCTATGCAAAGGAATCCAAGGCGGAAGTGAGTACTACGGCCACACAAGACATGGCGCACCCATACCGTGGTTGGTCTGTGGAGGATGGAGGGCAAGGACGAATACTGACTTCAAAGTACCCATGTCGAGTTATTCCCACGGCGTAGTAATCGCTTCCGGGACCACCGCGGCGCCGATGAACCGTCACATGGAGGTCTGTCCAAAATGGCGCGTTCGCACGGACGCATCGGTCAGCACCCGCAGCGTTGCCGTCGTAGGCTATCGTAAGTGGAGCGTCCGAATGGCCGGTGGCGTACTCAAGGACGCGGAACCTGCTGGTGTATTCAAATTCGCACAGGTTTAAAGGAACGTACCGATGTTGGGGAACCAGTCCGGCCGTCACATGGGTGTAATTGACATCGGCAAACATGGGAACTCGATGCACAAGATGTGTCAAGAACCGGAAACAAGCGCTGTCCCTGACAAGTTGTGTGAGTTTGAACGCTCTTAGCATGAGAGACTCGAACGTACGAGTTGAATTCCTGACGCACCATCTCGGACACGATGCAGGGAACAGATCGGTCCAGCTTGAAGTTCACTGAGTTCCATCGTCGGTAGAACTGGTCCTTCCACAGTGTCGAGTCGTCGTGATGCACCATGTCGGAGAAGATTCGGCATGTGATCGAGATGCACTTCAGGTCCCGCGTGCCCAAGTGGCCTGCAATCTGGCGAAAGATGTCGCCGTGGACGAGCTCCATCTTGTCTCGAGCTTGAAGTCTGGTAAATAGTGTTCGAACGTCAAGGGAAAAAATGCAAATATTCAGCGAAATTCAATCGAATTTCGCTCCATTTTTCATCAACTGTAAAGTGGCGATCCTTCCAAGCAGAGACCAAACGCCACCGTCCGAGCCATTCCAGGGATCTGGTCGAGTCGCACACGGGACGGATCTCGCGATTGAGGTTGACGGGTTGATTGCCTGCCCGCTTCAGCTCGATGTAGCCGCTGCTGTCCTTGAGTGCCCGACACTTGCCTGCTTCCACCGGAATTCCAAACCCAGCGATCCAATTATCCGGATATCGCGTCTTTTCAAACGGCAGGCAACATGGGCAGCACTCCCAGCTCGCTGCACTACGACGGCACGCAAGTGTCGCTCCTTCCGCAGTTTGTTCCATTGGCGAAATGCGTCACCGTGAGTCAGGTGGAAGCACTTGGAGACAAGCTGAGTGCGACGACAAAGACAGCGTTCTGTACGGTGGACGAGTTCCGAGATCTGATGGGACTTGGACCTCATCTCGACCTGTACTTGCGGTACCTCTTTGAATCGCTCAAGACAACGCCAGAGTCAGAAAAAATCCACGTGATGGACTTGCTTGCGGCGCTTGCCGTGTGCACGTCGACGAGTGCGTCACTTAGGGACAAACTCGACGTGCTCTGCACACTCTTCACGCACAAGACAGCGCAGCGTTTGAAGGAGAGCGACGTCGCTATTCTGTTTTTCAGTGCCGTCAACGGTCTCAAAAAGATCACGATTGGCTTGGAAGACACTTGGAACGCCACTGGGCGGTCCACGAGAGACATTGCCAAGGAGCTCACGTCGGCGTGTTGTCTCGACATGGTGGACGGCCACCAAGTGACCAAACCGTCGCTGCCGCGTACCGAATTTATTGCGTGGTGCCTCACGTACAAGCCAGTGGTGTACGTGCTTCGGCACTTCATCCCTGGTGACATCCTGAACCCGTCGACGGTGCTGGCCAACTCGTCTTTCTACTCCAAGCTCGCCAAGCAAACCAAACTGTACGAGACGCTGCTAGGTACGATGAACCCGTCCGAGAACCTGCGCATCGAGAGCCTGGTCCAAGCCACGGCCACCGTCAAGATCCAAGCAATGTGGAAGCGTCACGTCGCACGACGGGTGATGGGCGAGAAGCGCGCAGCCAAGAATTCAACCATGAACGGCGCTGCGATTACGATCCAAAACTACGCAAAGAAGAAGAAGAACTTTGTCGCCGTCATGCAACGCGCCGCCGTGGAACGCATGGCATTGAACGGCGCGCTGCTCACGTTTGGTTCAGGTGCCGTTCCAACCTCTTGTGACAGGAACGAAAATAACCCTCGCAACCAACGACATAGGCATTGGCGTTGGCTCGGGGAACTTGTCAAAGCAAACCAGTGGTCGCGGCGCAGACATGGTCGCCGAGCTCAAGCTTCAGGGTGTGCGGTCGCGCAAGGCCTTTGTCAGTTCGTCCTGCACGTTTGTGGACACGGACCAAGGATGGATGATGTGGGGGCAGTGCCTGCCCATGTATAGCCCCGACACGCAATCGACGACGTTTTCGCACGCGGTTCCAAAACACATTGATTTGAAAGTCGACGTCGCGAGTGTCGCTTGCGGCCGCGGCCATTGCCTTGTCTTGGATACGGCGGCGATGGTGCACAGTTGGGGATGGAATGATCATGGCCAGACAGGTGACTGGCGTCTGTCCAGGGAGAACGCAGGGGGGCATGACCTCCTTCATAGGGCACGGATCCACTCGAGTGTTTCGGGCACGCCATGGCGGTCGGTCGTACAAGACGTACTACGACGAGCGAACGGGGCACTCGGTTGAATACTTGGACGCTCCGTTGAAGTTGCCGTACTTCACCGGTGACATGGAGCAGGACGCGCTGCCGATTCCAATTCGGCAAATCGCCGCCGGTGACTTTTTTTCGATGGTGCTCAGTACGGACGGCCAAGTGTTTTCGTGGGGCGAAGGGTCGGATGGCCAACTTGGACTCGGCCTAGACTGTCCGTTTGAAGTGGGCTACGTCGAGAAGCGACTGGCGCACTCGGCGTTTACATTCACCCACGAACCGCGGGCAGTCGCCGGCTTGAGCCATGTCCAATCCATTGCAGCGTGTGGCAATCGCAGCACGGCGCTGACAGTGGACCAGCGCGTGTTTGAGTGGGGCGACTGGGGGCGTATGCTGGGCGAACACACAGAGCCCGCGTTTCAGCCTGTGGAAAAGGACGGTGCGAGTGGCCTCGGGCTGTGCAAAGTCGCCATTGGCGCGGAGCACACCGTGGCGGAAGGTACGAATCCCAGACATGCCGTCGATCGCTGACCCAATGCACCAGGCGCAAGCGTGTGGCTCGACTTGCCCGAAAAGAAGGCGTTTTCATGTTTTGTCATGCTGGCCGAACACGCGTGCTCGATTGACACGATGCGACGTCTCGACGAAGTGCAAGTCGTCTCGCTGGGCTTTCACTTTGACGATTGTGAAGACGACCAGGCGGACTTGCCCAAGCCCGCGACTCTCTCGCGCATGGTGAACCTGCCATTCTTGCGCCACGGAGGGACTCATGGCGATCCTAGGACAGCGACGGCCGGCAGTCGTCTGCCTCGACGTCGTCGAACATGGTGGGAATTCGACTCCACGCCTCTTGATCCATGCCACGAGCATGACAAATGGATTGTAGGACTCGATGGACTCGAAAGAGATCGAGCAGTCCATTTTGTCGTTGTTAGACCAGCTCTGGGTGAACCGTGCCCACGACTATGTGCCATCTTTGGACCGCATGAAAACAGAGCATCCGTCGATGCAATCGTTGCAGTGGCCACTTGCCGTCAAAACCGGCACCCTTTGCTACAACGACATCGTCGATGAAATCCTCATCGACATCGCTGGACGGTACCGTCATCGATCGTGGCCTGTGTGTTCGACGCCACGTCGTAGGGTCGTTTGCATCGACGTGTGCCCGCCTGAAGGGTATTACGTCGAGCTCATCGCGGGGAACGCCGTCCTCTTGGAAGTCCCGACATGTCCGACCAGTACCAGCCGCCGCGTGACGAACCGCGGCGTTTGGTCGAGCCTGGTGGGCGTGTCTTCCGCAGGTGCCGCCTTGCTTGTCGTGCATCGCAAGTGACGCGATCCTAGCAATGTCCCCATCAATCGAGAATCAAGTCGCCCTCATTCAGTTCACCCCGGACGATCTGTGCATGAAAGCAGCGATGCTACGCCAAGGTGAGGGCTCCTCCTTCTCGTGTCCGACCGACTCGATAGCGTGGTGGTGTAGACAACGTCGTCGACTGCATTACGGCATCGCTTGCACAAAAGGTTGTTGCGCTGCAGGAAGCGGGGGCCCTCGCCGTCGTCGTCGGGTTTGATTTTCACAATACGGAGCCGTTCATGGTCGACTTGCCAGGTGGTCCATATTCCACCATGCGGCATCTCATGGCAATGTGCTTGGCAGTGGATGAAGGTTTGTACATCCCGGTCTTCCTGCTTGACGTGGCCCGATACGAGCAAGTAAACACGTGCTTGGCGTCGCGAGAGGGCCCTGTGGACGTTCGTATGTTTCACAGACCAGATAACACGCCCCGCCTCATTCGCGCAGCGCTGCAGCATGGCGCCGCGGGAGTCCTCCTGCACCAGCGCGCCCCCGTCAGCCCGTCGTCGTCCTTCGAGGAAGATACATCCCAGGGCGATCCGTACATCTATCCGCATCCATTTGATACGAACGAGGCGCCGTTCGTCGGGATGGTGTCGCATTGTCACGGCCAAGTCTTGCGGCTCGCCACACATCTCGACCAAACCAATCACATGGTCGTGGCGGCAAAGTTCCGCGTCCAGGATCGAGGTAGCCACATGTGCCGGCAGCGCGGATATTCAAATCGACAATGCTGCGCTTAGGTCAGTTCTACTCGTGGGGGTGCGCAGCCAACGGCCGCCTCGGCGTCGGCGCTATGGCCGCCCACCCCCATCTCACGGACGGCTACGACGCGCGCACAGACTCGTCGTACCGATGTGCGACACTCCCTGTGGTTGTCCCAGCGCTATGCGGCCGTGACATTGCTGACGTTGTGTGCGGCGCAGCGCACTCGATGGCGCGAACGTCCACGGGTCGGGTGTTTACGTGGGGGCAGGGCAAGGCCGGTCAGCTAGGCCATCGCGAGTCCACCGACAAGGCAGTGCCTACGCTAGTCACGCAGCTAGGCTACGAAGTCGTGGTCGAAATGGCGGCCAACGACATTTGTTCAACCGTTGTGTGCGAGACCCTCCCGACGGACCGGTACGACCAGCGCCGCAAGGAAATCCTATTGCTCAAGGCGGCCAAGCGGAAAGGATAGCTGATGACGACATGAGCGAGTTGTTCCATGAGTTATTTGACATCTTTGGCGAGTTTGGCTTGCAGCAGCGCCAGAAGATCGATAAAACGAGTGGCGTGGCCGCTGATGTCTTTGGAATCCAGTGCGACGCCGGACGTGTTGACCGTGTACTTGCGGTACAAATGAATGGACGAATTCTCGGCCGTCGGTTTGTCGAGGGACAAAAGTGTCTTGGGGATGATCTCGGGGGCGTCCGTTGATTCGAAGAGCTTGATCGACCGGAGTTCCCACTATGGCCATGTGAAGGTCTATGCGCACGATCATGCGTACCTTCTCCCAGAGAGGAGACGGCTGGAGCAGGTAAAAGATGAAATGTTCGGCCTTGGCGACATCGAGGGGAGCGCCAAACTGGGAGAAAGTTGTGAGAACGTGAACGTAACACTGCAAGCAACCTCCTCGCGCTTGATGATATGCCAGTTCTGGGCGTCATCTTCGTGGTGTGCATTTTGCATGAGGCGGAATCGATCCAGGATCGTGACGCATCTTCCTGTGGTTGATATAACGCGTTGGCAGCGACAAGTTCAGTTGGAGCACTCTACCTTGCACGACTTGATCAATCCGAAGCATTGCGGCGTAGTAGTTTTGGAACGACAGGTGGGAAAAGTAGATGGGCGGTGCCTTGAACGTCACTTCGATGCATCGGACATGGTCTCCAGGCGGACAGTTGCTTCGTATTCGCGCTGCGTCGCCCGCTGGCTTGTCTACATTCGGGCTCTCGACCTTGCCGATCGCGACCTTGGTCATCTCACGCAACATCGCGTCTCCTCGGATACAAGTACCATGAAATAGTGTCTCGATATACACTATTTTTGCCCACGTTTTCACACTATTTAAATTCCGACATTTGCATCATGCCACTGTTTCAACTCGCAAAACGGCGGATTACTCACCGGCCATCTTGCCACGTTGGACGAGTCAGCGCCGTGCCGCCACGCTGTTGTGTCGAAGGGTGTTCGCGGATGTCAGAACCAGGAATCGATACCGGCCCGCCCATTCGCAACGTTGCAGTCGATGTGTATACGCAGTCCTGCGCAACAGCGCTTGGAACGGAGACGACGTGTCGATCGGGACAGCGCCTAAAGTAGCCACACGGTAGACGAGTCCACGACTGCGGCCAGCAACCGCACGTGGCCAAGTGGTCGGTGTACAGAGACGCCGTTCCGTGGCGCGGCGGCGGGAGCGGCATCCCTACCACCGGCATCGCTAAGAGGACCGCCACTTGTTGCCGTTCGTTTCACGCGATGGATGGATTCTCCGTCGGCTCAACCTGCTGTTGCCCCCGCTCGACCGCGGTGGCGTCCTGCAGGTACAGCACATTACGTACATCTCAGACCGCGCTTTTTGAGCGGTGGGCCGCAGCGCCACTTGGGATTTGTATGGTTGGTCGAACAATGCCGTTCAAAATATACGACGGTTCTTTCGCATTTTTCGTGCGCCTCTGGATTTCGAACGAATCTTTTTTGGTGGAATTTTACCTGGTCCGTTCAACTATCTTGACTTTTGTATCCAAGTTGAACCTGCGCGAACACCAGCTGGGTGTGACACGGCGAGAATGATATCGAGGCCGACGCAGGTTTCAGTTTGGATTGTTGGCCATGGTCGAGATCAAGACAGCGGGGGGCATCTTCGTGCTCTTCTGCGCCATCAATATGCTCAACTACATTGATCGAGGCATCATCCCGGGCTCCCCACTGCAGTTTGAAGGGTTCATCTCGTCGGTCTTGCACGCCAACGCAAACAACGCGACCGCCGGCGGCGCGGCGAGCAGCGGGGTCAGTACATGGCTCGGCTTCTTGGTCTCGGCGTTTATTGCAGGGTATTCAGTCTTCAGCATCGCGTTCGGCTACTGGGCCATCTACTACCGGCCATTTGTGCTGATTGCGGCGGGGCTTGCAGTCTGGGTCGTGGCCATGTTTCTGTGTGGCCTGGCCGACTCGGCTCAGAGCCTGACCATGCTCCTCGTCGGTCGCATCCTCAGCGGGGTCGGTGAGTCGTCCTTTCAAGCGATCGCGCCATCTTTTATCGACGACAATGCCCCTCCTGCCAAGCGGACTCTGTGGCTGGGAGTGTTTTACTGTGGCATCACTGTGGGCACGGCGGCGGGATACTTCTACAGCGCCATGTTTGCCACGTCGGTGCTTCGGTGGCCGTGGGCCTTCTATTTTGAAGGACTTTTCATGGTGCCGCTCGTTCTGATGTGCATGTTTTGCATCCCCAAGCGGTTCAACCTCGCGGGAGGCCACATGGCGGCCGACACAAAGCGCAAGTCGGTTGTGATCGAAGTGAGTGGGACGCGGCCGTCTTCTGCCGCCGGTTCCTCTTCCAACATGTCTGTCGATACTTCTGCGCAAGAAAGTTTTTTTCAATCGTCGCTGTCCTTCGTCGAGCCCTCCATGTCCATCTCGGGAATGGCAAGTTCAATCGACAAAGAGTCCAAGTCGCCGCTCCTTGCACCACGTATTGCCGTCCATATCGAAATCTGGGCGATCCTAAAAAGCCCGTTGTTCATGCTTGTGGCGATGGGCAGTGCTGCGTACGTTTTCAGCATCTCTGGCCTTGGCGCGTTTGGTCCATCGCTCCTCATTGGGATGGGCCTTTTTGAAGAAAAGTCGGCTGCGATGGTGTTTGGCGCCATTATCGTTGTCGCTGGTACGATCGGCACCCTCCTCGGCGGCCTTTTTCTCGACCGAAGCTGCAGGAGCCAGCCAGACAATGAAGACTTTCGCGTGTACATGGCGACGCGTCAGCTGTGCCTCATGCTCACCCTTGGGACAGTTTTCCTCGTCGTGAGTTGGCTCCTCCTGGACCATGGCCTCGCCCTCACCATCTCGGCACTCTCGATTGCTCTCACGTTTCTCTTTGGGTGTGTCCCGGCGTCCGTTGTCGCGATCATCCTGTCGGTCGACAAGCGGCGGCGCGGCCTCGCTCTCGGGATCAACACGCTTCTGTCCCATGTGCTCGGAGACGTCCCGTCTCCGATTGTGCTCGGGCTCATCAAAGACACCGCGGCCCCCCACTGCAACATCGTCGCCGACAATAAATTGAATCCGCTCTGCGCTGAGGACCGAACTGGCCTCAAACTGACGCTGCTCGTGCCGTATCTGTGGCTCATCTGGGCAATAGTGCTTGCTGCCGTCGCTGTCGAAGTCGCACGCCGTCGGTATACCCGCAGTTTGGACGCGGAAACTTCTCGCATCGTGTCGCCCGCCACCAACGCCCACAGCGTCATGCGAACGTGTTAGATCTTTTTTGGCTAGCTGATTTCATCACCTTATTCTAATATTTTAACTATCTTTCCACGCGGAACTCGTGGGTGTTCGCCAGCGATGCTACGCAGCGCGACGGTGTCTTGGGAGTGAGGTCCATGGAAAGGTTGACAGCTCCCTCGCTGCGGGAGATCCCAACAAGTGCGATGGTCATTTAGCACTTCCACAGTAGGATGACCATAGTCCAGGCCTCATAAAAAGTGGATGATTCCACAATTACTTCCTCCGTTCCGTGCAACTAGAGACATTAGACAAATCCAATGTTTATCAAGTCTTCGAGTTTTTTATTTGCACCCACATACGCTCTTGGAGGGACTAAAATCTATGGTCAGTCATGAATGTTATGGTGAGAGATGCTACCACTGGTCTAAGTTTTTGCACAACGCGAATGATTGGATCAGTTCCTTTGGTGGTTATCCTTCGTCAGTCCCTGAATGCTCTTAGCAAACACTACATCATTTCCAAATATAGTCACTTCGCACCAAAGCACACTGACTCCGACGAAATGGCTCGTAGAGCAAGCCTGTTGTCACAGCAGTCAACACAACTAACGACTCGGAGCATCAATCAAGGTGTCGCACTGCTGGAAAATCTTGAACAGCAACGCCAAGATAAGCGTGCGCGCTACTCTGCCGTTCGACCTGACGACCCCGACAAC